GAGTCCATCATTCTCACCCTTAGCCCACAGAAACAACCCATTACAACCGATGGGATTGCTCCATAACCCTTACGTCTTCTTAGTCTATAGCTTTGTCTATCAATTTCAATAATCAGACCGCTGCTCATTAGTCCGAGACCCGGGGCCCAGAGTTGGCAAGTCCACCAAAGGCTGGACGTTGCGGCAAGATCGTTGACTTTGTAAAATTGTCGTATATAAGGTACGGCAATTAAGACGCGGAATGCCGCCGCGGAATCGTACGCGGCGGACGCAAGGGAAATCTGTTACACGCGTTTCAATGGGAGCGGCAACTAAGGAGCGGAGCGACACCGCGGAGTCCGCGGCGTCACGGCGCGGCGATCTGTCGAGAACAGATCGGAGCGGAATCCCTTCGGAGATTCCGCCTCGTCCGTCGAGGTTTTCGATGATTTTTCATGTCTACTTGCCGACACGTGGATCGCGGTGGCAGCACCAATGGAAAATTACGGGCCATCGTGAATTATTGGATTCATGAAATAAAAATATGTTTGTAGCACGATATCAACGCATGATGGCATTCCTACCTCGTGCCAGGTGCAAATAATACGACACAAGTGGGTAAAAGAAACATGACACCTTTTTTCCAGGAGATAAATCTGTAAAAACAAAACGAACTAACTATTTTAGAGCTTTTCGGCACCTGAACAATTTATTTAGACGTTGCTATATCTATAGAGAAACCTAATCGACCGCAATTTGTTTTGAACATATGCCTGAAAGTAAAAGAAATGCGTGTATTTGCTTTCAATATTGCAACTCTCTGCTCACGTTTCATTCGTTAATTTGAAACTGTTGATAGGAGGTTTATCTTGGACTTTTTGTAAACATTTTTTTGCTCATTCAATAATACTTTTAGAAATTTTACAAACGGATATATTGGTTGGTATTCTCGTAAAAAATATTGGGGATTTTGAAACGTGGTGAGTGTTCATTGTACTTTGTAGCAAGGCAAAACACGCACTCGCGAGTTATCATCGGATACTGATTTATGACGAGACTGCCGACGGACACGGCGGAATTTTGGAGGCGATTCCGCTGCTAAGTTGCCGGGCACGGCGGAGCGGAAACTTACTCGACGCCTCGCTCGCTCGGGTCGTCCGCCGCGTACGATTCCGCGGCGGCATTCCGCGTCTTAATTGCCGTACCTTGGTCTGTATACCGTTGAGAAAGTAATGATGGCTGTATCCAGCCTGCTGTTCAAAAAAATTCACCTGCGTATATCATGTATTTGGAAAACATTTTTTCCGACTTAGAGTCTAATTAAGATGTTAGGTCTCACAGCTTGCATTCAGTCTTAAAACCAACGAAATACCTACGGGCCCAGAACATCCTCTGAAAAATCGATGAAATGCAATGGAGAATTTGCAGGTGACTGAAATTTGGTGAATTTTATGATTAAAATGAAACCATCAAGAGAATCGAACACGAATCCCCTCACAAATCCGAACATCGAATATCCTTGGTTCCTAAATTGAACAATTATTCGGAGGATTTGACAAAAAAAAAACAGAATCTGCTAAAATACATGTGTTTAAATGGGAAATGCCGTAAAATGACATCACAACATTCGCAAAGCGGCTTTAGTCACTTCTAAAACTGTTCTTCTATACAATTTCTCATTTTAAAAAAATCAATTCATCAAGATGAAGCAACAAAATTCGTTCGTGCAAATTCTCCATTCCTAGAATAAAGTCTATGGAGCAATAAAGGAGGGTTGCAGAACTTTTCCAAACTTCCCGTTATGTGAGTTGTTTCATGCGTAAGAATTTGAGTAAATAACATGATACGGAGTTTAGCAAAAAAGGAACGAAGCCACGTTAGCTAACGCCTTTAACTGGACACTCTAATTTTTTACAATATAACGTTTATGTAGATTCCCTCGAAACTTTTAAGAAGCTTTATGCTAAAAATTCACTGACATTTGCACAAAAATTCGTACTACCGTTTTCATGTAAAGAATTTAATTGCCTGAATTACTTTTGACAATAGCTGACGTGGCTTAGTTCCTTCCTGCTTAATGCGATTCATTTATTTTTTCCAGTGTAGACCTTGTCTAGTGCTCTATCAGGCAACGTGTGTTGAATCTCTTCAAAATTCACAATTGCGCTATTAATTGGACTGCATTTTGCAATTTGGAAATATAAATGCTGGCTCATCTGGAAAAACACTTATGTGCATAGGGAAACTAATGGCACATACGTTGTTTTTGAACCGGGCTAGAATTTATACTTCCAAATTGCAAAATGTAGTCCAATTATGACTCCTTTGTTGAGAAGCGCTCGGGCTCGTGGTGAAAATGCAAGTTACAGGCTACTCTGCAGTGCTAAGTAAAAACTCCGTATCAGCATTCAAATATTACCAAATTTCCTCTCAGGAAAAATTTATTTTTGAGGAGAGCTAAAAATATTCATCATTGAAATTTTCAGACTCTCTGGATCAAATTACGAAGGAGGTCCTCAATAAAAACCGGAAGTAAGATATTTAAACAATGATCAGTCAATTAAAAAAAAATTAAAAAAAAAAAAAAAAAAAAAAAAAAAAAAAAAAAAAAAAAAAACTACTAACTAGCTTTTTATGAAAATTGGGACTTGGTGCGTTTTTATTGAACCTGCTTCGAACAATGTCTCGCTCCTAAAAGTGCGTCAATAATATGGCGCTCTCTATGCTGCGAGACGGAAACTTTTGCTCCTGAAAGTTTCTCTGAAACTCGCACGAGAGCGCTAAGCGGGGCGTCGCGTCGCGACGTGATTCATTCACTCGTAGTATGCCTCGTTAGGAATGTCACGTGGTGGGTGGAAAGCCATTTCATAAGAAACTTTTTCCTGAAAACTAAAAAAAAATAAAAAACTTAAAAAAGAAGCTCAAAGTATCACCATGAATAGGACTACATTTTGCAGTTTGGAACTATAATTTCTAGCCCGGTTTAAAAACAACGTATCTGCCATTAGTTTCTCTATGCACATAAGTGTTTTTTCCAGAAGAGCCATAATTTATAGTTCTAAATTGCAAAATGCAGTCCAATAGTCGCGCCACATATGGATTCAGGAGTTTTCAATATTAACGCTATATGATGGTGCACTCTTAACTTTGTGGATCGCAAGAACATATTTTTGCTGGATAGGAAACCAAAATCTCGGGCGCCGACTGCTCACCCGCGAAAAATGAAAAGAGGGCATGAATTTGGATGTCCCTTCTTTTATCAGTCGCACACTCATCATTTTCGGTGGCGCACTGTTATTGTTAGCTTTCTTGGAATCATGAGAAAATTGGTTCCAAATGCAAAAATGTCGTTGGAAAAGAAAACTAAAAATTCCTGGCGCCGCCTTGTCCTTGTAACCCACAAAAAACGGCTGGGGGCATGTATTTTGTGAGTCTTTCTTTTTACCAGTCGCAGATCCTCAATGTCGATATAGCGCACGTTATTAATTTTCTTGGATCGAAAGGATATTAAATAAATTCCAAAGGCACAAAAATATCGTTGGAACTGAAAGCTGGACATTTTGAACGCCACCTGATCACCCACGAAAAATGACTCGGGGCGGGAGGGGGATGAATTTTATGTCCTTTTCGACCAATCACTCCTCACGGATGATAGCGCGTTTTCAATAGAGGAAGCTTTAGCGTTAACGGGCCCCGAGTGATATGGTATAAGCAGTTTTCCAAATTTTGTGCCATCCGTCGTGAACCTACAGGACAGCTGCTCCATTTTGGATTGAATGAGACTGCTCTGGCTAACCTCCCACCCCACCTAACTTAAAGTGCATGATGTAGAAAGCCTGAAAAGTGCCTGCAAAATGTTTTCGAATTAAACATATTTATTTTTCTGCACGAAGGAGTTGTCTTTCCGAAAATAAAACATGCGTGGATCGACAACTTTGCAATCTCAGATATGCATTATTGGACTTCAGCCATCGATGAAGGTCTTTCATTAAACTCTTAATTAAAACGTATCCGTTACCAGTAGGAACTTGTCCGACTTTCCCGGTAACTCATGGCTGATCTTGCAAGCAACTTCGATATATAAAAAAAAATTAAAAAAAAAAAAATAAAAAAAAACAAGCAGTGAACTCCAACACAATGTGTTGATAAGGCGCGTCATTAACTCACACATATCAACCCTTTTAGTTTTCAGTTACAGAGATTTCAAAATAGGCAAGTAGCACAACAAGAGAATTCATACGATCCAACTCTTCGACGACGCACTTTGACGAGACCGTGTATTGTGAATGTAGAAAGCCATTCGAACGAGTTTATGTTTTTTGATCTGCCCCCAGCAATATCTTATCAGATTCTTGAAGAAAAGTGCTACGGAATAATTTAAGCGAAGAAAGGAAAAGTTCTGTCGAANACGGAGAAAAATACCTCGTGCTTCGGACCCGAAGTTTAGGTCATATGGATCTCTGAAGTTTTCAGATTGAGCATCTGAACACTTTAGGTTTAGCCGTCGAGGTTCGGATCATACATCTGAAACTTCAGTTTTTACATCTGAAGTACTTCAGATGTAAGAACCGACGTTTTTCGGATGTGAGAACCAAAGTACTTCAGATGTAAGAACTGAAGTTTCAGATGTGTGATCCAAACCTCAGCAGCTGGACCTTAAGTGTTCAGATGCTCAATCTGAAAACTGCAGAGATCCATATGACCTAAACTTCGGGTCCCACGCACGAAGTTTTTTTCTCCGTGCATTTTCTACTTTTATATTTTTCGGGAAACTTTGATCTCTACGTGTGCTTAGTTGCAAACATTAATCTAAGTTCAGTAATTTCACTCGAATTTTTTACGAAAGACCGAAGATTTCTGCAATTCGGATTTGAGAGTAAATAAGGCGGTCGTCATAATGATCTCCTGCACATACGCTTGAAGTGGCATTGAGACCTGCGCTCGTCTTTGAAGTGTCATTTTTTCGGAGCGCCGCTAGAAGACGTTGCGTTACGCGACGTTATCTAAACGGAAGAGACGCCTTGCCGACTCATTCATCATGCCGGGAGAGCGGCTCGGGGGGGATCTTGACCGCACTCATTCACTTCGTTAACGCAAGTTCACAGTCAAGATCCACGCTGGTACCCCAAACAGTTCGTCAATTCCCGCATGTTTTAAGTGCCCGATAGTGCTTGTGATTATCCGCGCTCGGTGAATATGTGCTGTTGAAGTGGATTTTTGAAGGAACTATTCCAAATTACCTGTAAGTAATGGATTCCTACACGTTTCTAGGGATGAATTTGCTTACTCGCTGTTGACTTTTCACTCTTTTATCTGCTGGTCTATTTCGCTTACGCTGAAAAAAAAACAAAACAAAAAAAACACATGGATCTAGAGTCCAGACTCTTGAAAACATTGACAAGAAAAAGGACTCTTGATTCAATCAGATTTAAGCTTAAATCAAAAAGAAATCCGCTCAAATTAAGAGGCTTGGTTCTTGATTTAAGCTGAAATCTGATTGAATCAAGAGTATTTTATCTTGTTGATGTTTTTAAGAGGCTGGACTCTAGATCCAATGTGTTCTTTTTCCAGTGTATATTCTATCAGGATCTACATCCATCTATAGATTTATTAGATTTATCTTTAGATCTATTTATTGTCCGCAGACTTCAAGAGATTTTGACGCATCCATGCTCCAGGCTTTTCAAATATTCAGGAATTAAGGCCGAGTAGAATGAGTTACTGTAGATCCACTCGCCAGTTCCGTGAAAATTTGACGCCTCCACAGGGATTCGAACCCAGGACGTAATGGCCTGGAGTCAGGCGGGCTGATCATTAACTCTTTTGAACATCGCGTATAATAGAGTCTCGATTATTAGCTCTGATTGGGACCGAGGCTACGAATAAACCAAAACTAAGCTGTTGGTAAAGAAAATTAAATGGACAATTTTACATGTCAAGAGAATTTATTTAATTTTTGTCAAGTAATACACAGCAATGTAATAATTGGCAAAAAATGAAGGACTTTCACCTCAAAGAAGTTATTTTGCTCAGCATAATTTGTGGGAGTAATTTTTTTACAGAGGTTTGCGCTATAAAATTGTTGCATTAATGGGTCATGGCTACCGGAAAAATGACGGATAATCGAAGCGATGTTAATCGAGACTTCACTGTACATCCGGTCGTTTTCAATTTTTCACCGAGTCTTTGAGAAGTCAAAAAATTAACACCATGTTATAAGACAAGCAAAAAAAAAGAGTGCAGATAGAATTCAATTAGGAGTATCGTGTCTGTATATTCTTTCAATGAGAAGACACGACTAAGAGTACCATCTTGGTGGAACAATCACGCCTATGCATATGATGTAAAATGGACTGCGTTTTGAAATTTGAACTACAATATCCAGTTCAGTTCAGAGATGACGTATGTACGAGTAGTTTCCCTATGCACATGAGTGATTTTAAGGATGCGCTAGAAATTTTAGTTCCTAATTGCAGAATGTTGTCCAAATAGCAATTAGGGAGCAAAGACGTTGAAAATACTAAACTAATGAGGCACGAATATAGGTTCCTGCAAAAACAGTGTGATCCGCAACACACTATTCGAATCTATAGCCGCACTTCACCTGTGTCAAAATGTGTCACACTCCTAGCCCATTGAGCAAGCGACAGTGCTATCTACAGCGTTTGAAGAATCTTAGTACGGTATTTGAGCTCAACTATAAATAAACACACGTATAGACAGCACTCATGCTCAAGTGAGTATCGCAAATCGACTTGCAACTTGAGATCTTAAGCCGTCACGAATCGTGTTGTTTGGACGATTTAAGCATAGTCATTAAGCTTTTCGACAAATAGTGTCGATGACTTCACCAAAAACATAGTTATGTTCGAAAATCGGAGTTAAGCGCTGCAAATCGCAATTTTTGATTCTGATATCTCAATGGCTAAAGTGCGAAATCACGTATCTCCATTGCTGTGTTTCAAAATCTCTGCTCCTATTTTATTTTTTCGGAGAGAAAAAAGTTAATTATGTATAGCTTACGACATATTCTGCGAATGGAGAAGAACAATCTGGGAATTTTTCAAGACATTAGGTTGACTAGTTCCAGTGGAAAAATATACTATGACAGAAAGGCTGCAACGTTGCATGCGGAGATGCATGGTTTCGCCGCGTGATTAAATTGATGAAAAACAGTGTTACCACCTTGCAAATTCTCCACTGCCTATTCCTGTGAAAATATGATCCCAAACACTTCCAAACGGGCGAATCGCAACAGGTATTCTAATCTTTACTAATCGGCAAGATTTGACCATGAAAATACGATCTTTCACAAACACAAGTATTGCTCTTTGGTTGGTTGAGATTCAAATCCTTCGCTCCATTAGGGAGTACATTCCGGCATGTCAGAAGATGGTTGGCGGGAAAAAACTGTTAGAGATTTTCAAATTTTCGCTCGTGGACGTAAAACCGGCGCGATGCTTTTGTCGGCCACTCGAGTTGCGAAAACCGCGTGCCGTTTTGAGAAACAATGAGACGGAAGTGGAGTCCTCGAGACTGAAGCGATTTTTCAGAGTGAAAAATTCGAGAGTGTTTGTTTTGATTTCCGCGGCGGCTGAATGCGCTCGCGTCGGCAGATAAATAGATTTTCCGCGTGCGGACGCGCAAAATTGCGAAACGGCGCGATTCCCCCCCCCCCCCCCCCCCNGACTACAGTCACCCACTGCCGCTGCTTCATTGTAATCGTCGACGAGTGATTTGCCTCTGAATGAAAAGCGTTTGACTGCTCATCCATCTGCGCGCGAGTTCCTTCTCTGGTCCTCCCTCTGAAATCTCGGAGTCGTCTCGTCGCCGAGTGGAATCGCTTGCGGCATATAATATCAAAAGGGTACAAGACCCCTTTTAACGAAACTGAGATGATGGGCCACTAAACCTTGTGCTGCATATTTAACTATGGGGTCCGCCCCGTGACTACTACGCGGCCCAGTCCCCGAGGCGCCGCGCCGCGCGCCCCCACAGGCGCGCTTCGCGGCTAGCGAAATCGTTGAAATCGCCCATCGGCGGCTGATGAGCAAATAAATTTAATTGAATGACAAAACGATGTTTCAAAGAAAAATTTCCCGCAAAACCATATTCTTAATGACTTTCTCCTCGCTCTGAATTTTGATTCCATCTTTGGAGTTCGACCGCGTCTTCCTCACCCTGTCCATCGAGGTCTTAAAAATGATTTTATTAGAGTAGAGAGGATATTCTGAAAAGTAAATTACACAGTGATTTATTGCGTATTTTTGGAGCCAAAATACCTGACGAGCCTGCTTTCAAGAAGTTCCGAGACCCGAAGGACTTTTAAACGCGCCGGAATGGTGGGAAAATGGTAGAAGTGATGTACTAAGGCGGTCAAATCGCTAGCTTCTCTCATTTTCCACTCTGGTTTCTTAAAAGAAAACGTCTCTCAATGTGGAATTGCTGCTTGGTATAATAATTACAGATGACCATTATTAAGATTTGATTTTTTTATTCTGAGGAAACGGTTTCGACTTCCCCATTATTTTCACATACGAGGAGTATAGATACATTTGGTGGAAGTCGTAGAAACCCATACTCACTTCTGATTGGTGCCGGATGACATAATTTAGTTCAGCGCGAAACCGAGGCAGTTTAAATTTGCGGAAAATTTGCCCTTTTATAACTGCGTATTTTTTAGTTTTCGAGTTGCGTTTTCAATGTGCCCACGTGTTCTACGCGTCATTCACTCTCGAAAAAAAGTATCTATACAAGTGAAAATTCGTTCATAATTTAGTTAACCATTGCTCTACCTACTAAAAGGGGTTTTTTTAAGCTGCATCCAAAGACAGGTCCAGATAGGCTCCTGCTAAAAAGGTCCAATGTAGGTATGACTGGTTCGCTTAACGCTATTCATTTGATCTTATCATTCTAAATTTTATCATTGCGCTTAAGTGGATTACACGCCGAATTTTTCAGGAGTGAGAGGTCAGTGCTAAATAAAATTTGCGTTGGTGTCGGTTTCCAAATCGTGACGATAGTTTATCGAACGAGATAAGACGGCATGGTGATCTATTTTTTCGCATTGAAGCCCATATCACATGCCTTAGAAGCATTCAATTCTTCGTCCTCGATGAGTATTCGATGCCTCTCTTCTTTCTAAATTGCCGCGCACCATTTATCATCTATTCCAATTAAAATGAGCTCCGTGACCTCCGGTTCAACGTCTCGTGTTCTCGCGACAGTTTCAGATTGCACCAGGCAAAATGAGAATTCTGGTTCTAAAATAGACCCATGCTTTTAACAGTTACCCATACAAACCAGTGTTCTTTTGGGTTGTCTAAAGCCCCAAGATTGGCCGAAAAATGAGTTGGCTCATACTACAATCCTGGAGTTTGAATCCTGTACGTCGCAAGTTTATATGGACCATGTTCAGCAGAAAGGAACCGAGCCACATCAGTTATTGCCAAATGTAACTAGGCAATTCAATTTTTTTGAAAAGGAACGTTTGTATGGAATTCTTTGAAAATTTTAAGGAATTTGCTTCATACTATACAGAATTTTCACGGAAATTCGCCCAAAAATCCGCAAAACAGTTTTCATGTAAAAACTTAAATTGCCCAGTGGCAATATCTAATGCGGCTTGGTTCCTTTCTCCTAAACTCTGTCCATATGTGAAAGTGACAAAAATTTACTTTAGTAAATAAAGTTCTTTAGGACTGACAACGATCATTGATTCGTCAGCCAAGGGTCTTTTACAATTTTAAACATTGGGATATTTGCTGTACTTCGTAATTATTCGCGGGAACGGAGATGTGGCAGCATAAAGTGTACTGTAGATAAGTCCATTTTGAACAATGTAAGCCACGGACTTGCAAATATTTTTGAAGTTAATTGTAAGAGGCCAAATGCGCATTGTTGATGGAAGTTGTTCTCGGAAGTTTACGCGAGAAACACTCACAACCCTATTCGAAAAGCAATGCAGCATACTTCAATTAAACAATCATTGTTGATTCTCAACTGCGATTTATTCCTTTGAAAAAATAATAATGACCAAGCCATCTTACTGCATCTAGTCAAGAAGCCGAGTGACCTAAGAAAAAATCTCAAACTTTGACGTCGAGTGGATTGTAACCGCTCATTCTCATTTCGTCGTCCCTTTGACGTAGGGCATCTCGATTTTTACTTGAGCCCTAGAGAGCATGGAGTTCAATGGATTTATGGATTATTTAAGGCTCATTCCAAAATAGAGATGAGCCA